CCCAATTTCAGACCTGGTGCCTCAAGATGAGTTTGACGTCAACATCACATGAGATTTGAGAGCTGTGCTCATTTTTATTACTTATAAACTTCAATTTCTCTATAAACTGACTTCAGAAGAGTTGAAATAGCATTTTAACCCCTTACCACAGTCTACCTACTTTTTACTGTTTATGGAAAACATTTCCTTTCGTGCTCTGTTGAAGAAAAAATCAAATGGATTTCAAATGAGCATAAATGATGACAAATTATTATTACTTTAAATAACCTTGCTCTTTTAAAAAAAAATGACAAAGAGGTGCTTAACCTTTAAAAAATACCACCTTGTTTTAACTGTGCAACTGTTGCAATCTTTGCAACCCTGTTATGAAAATACAATTTATAACACTGATGTGTCATTCGTTTTTCAATCAATAAAACTAACTTAAAAATAAAATAAAATAAAGAACAAATAAAATAAAACAATTTTTAAAATTTAAACACTTAAGAGTTTGGACCTAATTCTTGTAACCAAAAACATAACCACATTATAATAAATTTCATGATGATGAATGCAGGTTTCTCTAAAGATTATAAAATATTTAATATTTTAATAATTAATGATCTGCAGTATACAGAAAATCATTTATTATTATTAAGCTGATATGCTACATAGTACATCCTACACAGACCATATGTGCTGACTGTGTTTGTGACAAGAATATTTTAATCTTTCTTTCTAGCAGTTCAAAGATAAGATAAACCAGGAACCAGAAATACATCCTTCCAGCAAATTTAAAACAAGACAAAACTAAGAACTTTTCACTGCTATAAAGCCAAGTCAACCATTTATTTCAAGTCTTTCTAAAGCCAAACAGGTCTGCCATCGGACCTGCCATATGCTCGCTTCACACACACTTCCAGTTTCAGAGCGATGTGCTTGTTAAATATAACACTTGGTCATGCAAATGGTCGAGAGGAGAAAATTGACTAAATATTAATTCAGCTATTAGAAATCCATGATATGACTTGATATAATACACATTTATGAGATGTGCACAGGTACCTACTGATTCAAAGACTTCTGACATTTTGAATTCTGTAAGAAACATTTTTTTACATATCTATATATTCGCAACATACCTCTGAATGTTGTAAGATTTTATTTGAGGTGTACAGTTTAATCAAACAGGAACAATTTTACTCTTTTTCAATAAAGGATTGAACAAACAGAACATACATTTCTAGAAAAGAAACAGCAAGTAATAATTAAATTTTGAAAGACTGAAATACTATTTTCTTGTAAAACCTACTCCAATAATGTTATTTGAGTATGATTGCGATACTATTATATACATTGAACAAAATTATAAACGCGACACTTTTGTTTTTGCCCCCATTTTTCATGAGCTCAACTCAAAGATCTAAGACTTTTTCTATGTACACAAAAGGCCTATTTCTCTCAAATATTGTTCACAAATCTGTCTACATATGTGTTAGTGAGCACTTCTCCTTTGCCGAGATAATCCATCTACCTCACAGATGTGGCATATCAAGATGCTGATTAGACAGCATGATTATTGCACAGGTGTGCCTTAGGCTGGCCACAATAAAAGGCCACTCTAAAATGTGCAGTTTTACTGTATTGTCGGGTCCGAAAACCAGTCAGTATCTGGTATGACCATCATTTGCCTCATGCAGTGCAACACATCTCCTTCGCATAGAGTTGATCAGGTTGTTGATTGTGGCCTGTGGAATGTTGGTCCACTCCTCTTCAATGGCTGTGCGAAGTTGCTGGATATTGGCATGAACTGGAACACGCTGTCGTATACGCCGATCCAGAGCATCCCAAACATGCTCAATGGGTGACATGTCCGGTGAGTATGCTGGCCATGCAAGAACTGGGATGTTTTCAGCTTCCAGGAATTGTGTACAGATCCTTGCAACATGGGGCCGTGCATTATCATGCTGCAACATGAGGTGATGGTCGTAGATGAATGGCACAACAATGGGCCTCAGTCACGGTATCTCTGTGCATTCAAAATGCCATCAATAAAATGCACCTGTGTTCGTTGTCCATAACATACGCCTGCCCATACCATA